AGAGAAATCCGGGTTGGCTAAGATCGGAGAAAACACCAAGGCCTCCTTCAACTATTGAAACGCATCGTTGGCCTCTTTTGTCCATTCAAACTTGTTGCGTCCTTTCTTCAAAAGTTCGGTAATTGGTACCGTGATCTCTGAATAATTCTGGTAAAATCCGGCGCTACCGAGCAGCCGTCGTACGTCTTTCACGGTACGAGTTGCCAGGTAATCCAAGATAGGCTGAATTTTGGCAGCGTCCATGGACAATCAATCGTTCCCCAACAATTTTTATGAGGCGGAGGTGCTCTTCCAACGTCTCTGAGGTAAATATAATATCGTCTAAGTAGACGTAGACGAAAGGTTCCAAGTCATGCCCATGAACTTTGACCATTAGGCGAGACATAGTAGCCGGAGCGTTGGTCAGGCCGAACGGCATGACTTTGAACCGATACAGGCCCTTATTGGTGCGGAAGGTCGTTTTATTTTTCGCATTTTCGCCAAGTTCGACCTGGTAGTATGACTCGGTTAAGTCGATGACGGAGAAGAAGCACGCTCGTTTGATTCGCTGAAGAATTAGGGTCATATTTGGAATCGGAAAATCGTCCTTTTTCGTCAATGAATTCAACCCACGTGAATCTAGACAAATTCGACCCATTGATCGAATCCGAATCTTGTTGACTCCCATCAAGCCCAGTGTGGTTGAGCGTCGGCTTCTCATTGCGATCGCTCTGCAACTTTTCCTCGTCGTACGACATCGCCTTTGTCGCATCGAGCAACGTCGCAACATTCTTCGTTCAGCGGAATGGCGCCCACCGTACTGTAGTAAGGGTAGAAGAGAGTAGCATCGGAACCGTAAGTCTAGTATAGTTGATTTGAGCTTAAATTTAGGATCCTTCCCCAGACTAATGTAAATAGTTCGGCAAACTATGAGAAGTTCCAAGAAAAAATAAAGGCTAGTGAAGATTCGTCCTAAATACTTTAATATCAAGAGTTTGTTCTTTCCTTTCCGCATATTTTGTTTCCCGTTTGGGTCAGCTAGGGAATTCGAATTGTTTGAGCCACTTAAACTCGCCCTCAGACCGAGTCTCATAGCCGGACCGGAAAACGCGTCAGCAGTCTCTCTAGTCAGAGAGTGGCGCTTAAGCTGCTGTGCGTTGTGTGCACAACGCGAACGTTACAAGTAAAATTAGATATTTAAGTGCTAAATTATTGAAATAGCATTGAAACAAAAAAAAATCGTAGAACAAACATGATAAAACCAACTAAACCCCAAGGGGGGCAACTCTATCTGCGATGCAGGAAAGTTTTTGATTAGCTGCGCACACGCTGACTAGAAAGAAGATTGATGACGATTCTGACGATTTCCTGCCAAAAGATGATGCTCGATGCAAGTAGATGCGAAAAATGATAGAAGTTTTTTCGAAGATTCATTCGCTTGTGTGAGATTTTCGGAGCATCTAGAATTGAGATTTAGATGTGTCGCCCCCCTCGCTAAAGCCTGCATGCTTCGATCATTGTTTGCAAATCGTATCCGAATACAATCCTACCGTATTAAACTAACAACCATCATCGGGTTCCTGCATTGGAATACATTTAACAAAGGCGCTCTTCTATTTTTATTTAATTTGGTTGGTCACGCCCTAATAAAACATTACCATAAACGAACAATAACCCAAATCATTGAACTATTCCACAAATGGTTTGGATGATACCTTGAACACGTCGTTAAGCAAATTAACCATAACATTTTTATTAGGGCGTCTCCATATCAACATTAATCGATGTGGTATGGCTGTTAACATAACCATGTTCGTAACCTTAGCAGGTTTTTTCAATTTTATTTGAAAACTGGTAATTTTTATTTTAGGATAGGCACATATCACAGTAGTTTTTTAGGTTTTGTACAAGATTCATTCATTTTAATAGCATATTTACACGAACTAGCACTGTAATTTAACAAATTTCCATAAAAATAATGAAATTTCCAAGGGCTGTCCTATCTGATCACCTTCGGATAGTGCTTATTCCTGTCACCAGGCACGCATTAGTTTAAGTTGGATTCGTCAATAGTAGGTCATACAAATGTATCCGCGGCAATATACAATGATGCTTACGTAACTTTATAAAAGGACCGATCACCTTTTGATAGGCACTTTGTTAAAGTTACGCGAGCATTACGTCATACGCCAATTTTTTTTCATGAGTTCATTCCGTGCATTGGTCAATACAGTCCACATCGAATAAATAGTTGTATCGTGAATCGCATCCGTTTTCTTTCTACGAAAAGAAGCCAAAGAAAACAGTCCTTTTCAGGACTATGAAGTAGTCCATTCCAAGAATGAGCTATCGAACATGGCATCCCCATAGGGAAAATTAGCCGTCAAGCTGGGAACCTCGGAGCCGAGACTTACCCACACCATCTCCCGTGTATATGATCGGACATTTTACGTCCCTGCCCTTTGTACACACCGCCCGTTGCTACCACCGATGGATCAGCATCACTCTTTCGTTGCCGTAATACGAGGTTGCTCACAGCATCGACACGCAGTTTGCAGGCTTACCCGAGTAGAGGGAAATAGCAAAACCAGAGCAAAATAATATCAAATTTTACCACTGGCCCTTATTACGAGTGTCACTTCACGTAAACTAAGTAAAATGACCACTTGTCACTCACGGTGAAGTGATTGCCGTGTGAATCAAATGGAAATTATTTCACCGTGAGTGATAAGTTGTCACCAGTGGCGTCCCGTAGCCTCACTTTTTACCTGTGCACCAATTTTCAAAACCAGATTTAATGCCATATACTCGAATCGTTTGAAAAATACACTTAATCTTCTAGTTTACTCGATACCTATCAATTGCAAGCAATATTTTGATAATTGTTTATGTTTTGAGAGTTAATGCACAGGTAGATTGAGGTTAAGGAAACGTCACTTGGTGTCACATCACCGTGACATCGGTAATAAGGGTCAACAAGTTAATAGCTTATTCTGCTACCAAAGTATAATTTGCTATTGTTATAATATTTTAGTATCATTAATTCAAAAGCTAATTTTGATCTGATAGCGGAATAAGCTATTAATATGCAATTAAATTGATTAATAAAAAAACACATCAATAGCTTGATAAGATATAATATCACATAGATTTGGTTATTACTCATTTATGATCTCATAGATTTCTTGATGTTATTTTTGATATTTTATCTCTTATATCAATCAAACTAATAGCAATTTTTGATGTTCTGTTCCATAATTTTAATAGTGTATCTTGCTATTGATTTGATATTCTCGTCTACACGGGTAGTGCTCTGAGAGTTAAATATATCGATCATAGATATATCTTTATGAAGCCATTGAAAAAAAAACAAAACAAGTTTAGCAAGCTTAGGCAGGTCTGCTCTGCTCTAAAGTATCCTCCTGTTCGGTTGTTCGAAGCATAATAAAAGCTAAATATTCAAATATTGGACAAATGCATTTTCTAATCGTGTTTAATCAGTGCTACCTACCCTACCTCAAAGATCACTTCCAAATCCACGGGTACCAAAACTAGCGTTGACGACAGCTTTATCATAAAATTCACAAACGGTCCCGATTTAGTTCAGTCTCAAACTATGATTTTCCTTTTTATAGAAAAAAAAACATCTTCCAATTCTAGATCGATTTCCAATTAATCCTAGTGAAGGCTATACAAAACTACAAATAAATAAGCAGTTAAAGAACATATGAAATACTGAGATTCATCAAAATACTTGATCCTTAAACTTTGCTGTCGAATTCTCTTCGATTATAATGTTTTCGTGCAATAAAAACTTACTAGTTAATAGGAAAATATGTAACTGTGCTCTTATGTGTGTGGGTGCTTAATATGCGTTTTTTGATTCATGGTTACAGTATTGTTTACAATGTATCGTTATTATCGACCAAATGAATGCATGTATTATACTGAGTGCGAGTGTATAAAAAAATAGCTATTTTCAGGTTGATTACTTACTAAACTAAATTAACAATAAATTAGACAATAAGCTTAGTTTCACAAGAGCAAAACAAAATCGTGGAAATCTATGTGCATAGTTAGAAGCAAATCAGTCATTTTATTTTTAGAAATCTACCACCTTCCTTCCTCGATCCTCGCTTTGCTTCCAACTATTGATTGGCAAATGAACAACACAAACACTGTGGATTTAAAAATTTAAAATAATGATTTTTTTTTCAGCTAAAACAAAAAATCCAACACGGTAAACACGAGTATGGATAGATTGCTCTGGCGTGTACTGTTGGCCGAGCTACTATTGTTTCGCGATTGGCTGCGCTGGTTGGGATGCAAGTTGGTACTAGATCTAGTGGTAGCTGCAGTAGTAGTTGTGGTAGTAGCATTAGTAGTAGTATCAGCAGCAGTACCAGCAGCACGTGCCGATGGTGACGACAAAGAGTGATCATGCTTGGAATGGTTCATCTTTACCGGATCGACCGCCGGAACCGTCGAGTGCTGATCGCTGACCATGGCGACGGCAGCGGACGACGGCCGTTCGCTACGACTACAGTTGACCGTCGACATCGAAGCCGTCGACATGAGCTGATCGTACGAATGGCGTCGCTGGCGGATCAACTGACGCCGCCGGCGACGTCGATTCTCGGACCGATTGTCAAAGTGATGGCTCTGTATGAGGGCAAAATCATGCTCGTCATACAACCGCCCCTCATCGTCGGCGCCATTGTCCAGCATGTCAACATCGACGTCCTCCGGATCGATCTCGATCGAGTCGCAGTGCTCGAAGAACCACCCATCGCCACCGCCGTTCACGTGCGAACGTCTGTTGCTACCACCGACAGTCGTGCCATTCTCGAAATGATAAGGATGATGATGGAGGTGGTGGTGGTGGTGGTGGTGATGGTGATGAAGTCGGTTGGGATGATGATTAGTGGTCGTGGCGGTGCCAAGATACTCGTGGTGGTTAACATCAACATCAACAACAACGATATCGTTCAAATGCTCATCAATACTGTTACAATAGGTACCGATAATGCCATGGTGATGGTGTCCGGGTCCGGGTCCTGGTCCTCCACCCCCGCTGCCTATTCCACCCAGGATGCTGCCCGGAATGGGCGTCGAGGTAACGATCTGCGGATGGCACAGCTCTAGGGAACCACCGCGGGCTCCCAGGAACCACTCGGATCGGGTGCGCATTCGGGCCGCCTGTCGTTCGTGGACCTGTTTTGAGTTTTTTAAAGCGCGCGACATCCCATGGGGCGTGTACAGGTGTGGGTGTGGATGTTTTTTTGTTTGTATTTGCATACAGTATCGTAACACGGTAATGTTTCCGGGGAGCACAATGTGGGTGGAGGGAGAAAGAAACAGAGCAAACAAGAGACAGAAGGGCAAAATTGAGATTTTTCTTATGATCATCCCTGATGGTGGCAATATTACGGGGGATACAGAGCATAGGGTTTTGGGAGGGGAAGAAAACATGTTAACACTCAAACCGGGGAAAACCGGGATCTAACTATTTGAACAAACTGGTTGGAGAGTATCCTAGGAGAGTAATCTACTGTTACTATGAGAACTTCCCGTCTAACGGATAAGGTTAATACCATTCCAGAACTAAAAACAGAACAATCTCTACCTAACATGTATGATTAGTGGTGTACACTTTTAACTCTAAGTTGTGATATTTTGGTTTGTTTAAGGAATATTATATACGACGGAATTTTGCGGCTAATGGTGATCATAGCAAGAGTACAGTCTAGATTTACAGTCTTTCAAATGGAGTGATTTCCTCTAAATTGCAATGTTGCTTAAGTAGGCAAAGTATGTACGCCCACAAAGCTTCATAAACGCTTTGGGAATACATTCATTATTATGATTTGATTTGACGGTTTACCATTCCCGGATAGAAGGGAATAGTAAAACCAGAGCAATTTTTCTATCAATATCTTATTATGTTATTGGTAAGTTGTGCGCTATAACAAGTAAATAGCTTACTCTGATATCAAAGCTATTGTTATGATATTTTGGTATCATGAATTCAATAGCTAAATATTGATCTGATAGCAGAGAAGCTATTAACACTCCGAACACGATGCCTCCGGTAAAATGTGTAACGGCAAATTGGCAATGTTTGAAAAATCATTGCTCAACAATTTATCGATAGATTTTTAAAGATCAAAAAAAATTTTGAAGTTCGTCAATAAATGGCTCATAGCCTAGTCAGTAAAGGCACGGTATTACCAAACCGGAGGCAGCGGGTTCGATTCCCGATCCGGTCGAGGGAATCTTTCGGGTTGGAAATTTTCTCGACTTCCCTGGGCATAGAATATCATTGTGTTGCAACAATATAAAAAATTCATGCATTGGTATTGGCATCGAAAGCTCTCAATTAATAACTGTGGAAGAACATTTAGAATACTAAGTTGAGAGCACGAAATAAGTTTGAAAATGCGAATAAAAAGAAGAAGAAGAAGAAGAAGAAGAAGAATAAGAAGAAGACGAAGAAGAAGAAGAAGAAGAAGAAGAAGAAGAAGAAGAAGAAGAAGAAGAAGAAGAAGAAGCAATAAATTGCTGACATTGCAAGTTTGCCGTTACACATTTTACCGGCAATAACCAACTTTACTATTACTCAGTTATGGTCCCATAGAATATTGATATTATTTTTGATATTTTACCTCTTATATTAATCAAGCAAATAGCAAGTTTTGATGTACTGTTCCGCAATTTTAATAGCAAAGCTTGCTATTGATTTGATATTCTCGCTGCCCTCAAAGTAACTACCCCGAATTATTTTACACCGAATACTGTTACATTGAACAGCGGTCCAGGATGGGAATTTAACAGGAAAGTAGTTCCAGAACTTTTCCTTTTCTATTGAGACGTTTGGTGTCATCGGTGAAGTTTTTGGGTTTTAAAAACCCTGTAAACATTACAGTTGTTTTAAATTTAATTGATATTAAAAAAAAAACTAACTTTCATATTTTTGAAAATAAAGACATATTTTACTGAGCAATGTTTTAGCTGTGTTAATTTCAAGAACCTTTTAGGAAACATTTTTTTTTATCTTTAAACATTTTAATTTTAGAGATTTTTTTAGGAATGGAATTATAGTATACCTAAGAAAAAAAACAGTGCTTAATATTTTATTTCAAATTAGACAGTGAGCATGCATAAGGGCGTAAACGCGATGATTGATTCTCTTCATCGATTTTCTCTTTACAATGATACAATACATACAATACGAAACAATTTTCTGGAATTTGTTCAAAGTAGTGCTGTAGCCGGTTGTATTGGCTATCAAATGCAACAGCAAACGCACCGAGAAACGTTAATCCAAGCGAGTTATTAACAAAAGAGAAAATCGACGAAAATAATCGATCATCGCGTTTACGCCCTTATGCATGCTCAGTGTCGAATTGCTCGTGAAAGCCGTCTTTTTTTTTAAGAACTTGTCACACGGGAACAAATCCAATCTCCGAAATGAGAAAAATGACTCATGATTTCATGAACATAGCGTATTTTCATGTTTTGAAAATACACCATGAATAATATTCTTGATTAAATGAGCTATTTTTGCGTAACGCAGCTAAGATTCCAGAAATCATGCATCATCTTAGATGAAATCATGAGCTAATTCTATGAATTTAACTTTTAGTTTTTAAACCAAAACAAAAATAAAATAAAGCATCAGGTCAGACTGGATTCGAACCAAGAACCTTGCGATCATTAAACCCATACTTTAACCACTAGACTATCAGTACTTGTATAAGATGGAAGGCAAAAGACGTATAAGACTGTGCGTTTTATGAACACTGTTTGCCAGGTACGTGTTACGCTTGTAGCGGTCATGATTCCGCTGAATTATGAAATTATGAATTTTCATCACGAAATCATGAATCATTGTTATGATTTCATGGAAAGGCAAGTTTGTTTCATTTCATGATTTTTTATTCATGAAAATGGAATCGGATTCGTTTCCGTGCAATATGCACATTTATGCACATAAATCGATATCTCTTGAAGCATGCGGACAACTTTCTCCATAAAATAGCCCTTTTCAAATGTTAATTACTCAGCATGGGGCAAACACACATACATTTTCAAATTAACATTAGACAGGGCACAACTTGAATTATATTATGCAAAAAATAGGGTGATTGATTCTGGTTGGACCTATCCAAAAACTGATGATGGTTGCACCTATTTTTTCAATCGCTAGTTTAGTCAATCGTCACATTTTTTTTTTTTTTTTTTTCAGAGATCGCTTTACTGTCATAAAAAAAAACTCTTTTGCTTCAATTTACATGTATGTTTTATTGCAAAAAAAAACCTCAAAGCAATTGAATTTCAATGTGTTTTCAAAACAGTTTACTTTCCACGCTTTAGCTGATCTTCATGCCTCAAACACACAAAAAGGAATATTTTTAACATTTATAGTATAGTATAATACTGCTTTAAGATGTAAACAACACGTTAGTACGCCATTTATCCATTGGTTTTACTAAAATGTTTGAATAATTGACGACATTCGAATAGATAAATCTGATCAGCTGATTTGAAATTCGACTTCGCGTTGGCCGAGTGTTCAGTTTCTTCGATTGAAAAAAATGGCTAAAGAAAATAGTTCTAGGGCTGTTCTTTTAGTGAGATAGGTAATAAATCACTTACCGCGTACCAGACGCATAAAAGGTACAATGTTCCGAAAACGACACTTCACGGAAAAAATAAGGGAAGCCACTTCAAAAAATATGGAAGTGAAATAGAGTTGAGTGTTGATTTGGAGAACCAGCTTGGGGATTGGGTCTGTATGTGCGCTGCTTCTGACAGTCCCAAGACGACCAAAGAGATCTAGGAAGCTGCTAACGACTTTGCGTCACTAGTTGGGCGTTGATTTAAAGGAAGGATTCTATCGTCACGTTGGCTGAAAGGGTAAGCATGAAAAATCTTCAAAACTCCTTGCTACAATATGCAATTCATTCTTTTCTAGGGTAGGGTGATTTCATTATCTACTTCTGTATTTTCAAGTCTGAGATAAGATACAAATCGCATTGAATTGTTCCTTTGTTATAAAATGTCTCTTCCTTCTGTGCGTGAATTAACTTGAAATAAAATGTTAACAAACTAAAAATTGATAACTGAAAATTATTTCCGAAAAAAAAAATCTTTAGGAAAAAATCGGAACTAATTCACCTGTGGTGTGATCTGACCCTTCATATTTCTGTAAGTTCTGATATTCTATCATTTTAAACCCCTAAATTCTCCGGAGGCACCCAGAACATGCCCGGAAGTGACCAATGTGGTCCAAGGCACTCAATATTGGTATTGGTCTTGTTATCGAGTTTGGAAGTAATGTGAAGTGTCGCATGATAGGTTTTATTCCTTCCATGTAAAATTTAGGTCCATGGTCAACATATCCTGGAATTTGTTCCGACCATATCTCCGGAACCAGTTGACCGACTCCAGACATATTCGATAGCCTTCAATGGGACCACAATACCTATAGTTTGACGTTAAAAATTTTCCAAATCGGGTCAGTGATTTCCGAAAAAATGAGCCATGCGTAGAAAGTGAACTGTTTAAAAACGCAGTGAAAGTCAAATTTATTGATTTTTTAAATAACTAATTCATAAAAACTGTTTTTTGATACCAATAAGCTCTAAACGAAATGTTTGAACAAATATGGGATAACATAGCATTTGCAAAAATAGGTCCAATAATTATCATTTTTACGTAGGACTACGTCTGTGATTTCTATATGAGGGTACACTTTGTGAAAACCGAAAATGGAACATGTAACAAAATTATGAAAGATTTCGAACATTAATCACTCAGCTGCCCCTGGACCAATTTCAATAATTTTATCACCAATCGATCAGAAATATTTCTACACATCTGTTAAATTTAAGACTTCATCATTTTTCGAAATGTCACTATTGCACGAATGAGGAACTGTTGCTAAGATAATTAAAATTATCACCAATTGCCTGCGAAAAGCGATTTCCCTAACACAGATTTCAAAGTTGAATTCCATCCGGTCTCACCAAACGATGTTTATTCAATCACCACGAGGTGAGTGGTGATGTCCTCCAGTACACAACAAAAGGCTCCCCGCAAGCAGCTAGCTATCAAGGCTGACCTCAACCGTTGATCGGAATCAGTTCCAATCACTGTGTGTGGTGGTGTCTGGTCGTCGGATCACCACCAGCAGCAGCAGCAGCAGCAGCAGTGCTTTCGGCGCGTGGCGTAGAACATTGTTCTCCAGTACACAACGAAAGGCTGCCTGCAAGCAAGCAGCGAGCTGCAGCCCACATGAACATCCATAGAAAGAGGAAGAAGCCGCACCGCTATTGATCGGAATCAGAAGCTCTTCGTGAGTCGCTGTGGGCCATCTATGGCAAGCACAACATCATAATTCTTTGCTGAATAAAAACGTTTTATAAAATCATTTGTTCATAATATTTAACTTGTTATGTTATTATTAGAAACAGGAAAAGTAGATCTTTCCCCTAAGCACGCATTTTTCATAATTATGTTTTGAATCCAGAAAAAAATACGACATGAATTTTGACGTCGTGTGAAACCGGCCTAAATAGGTCCAACCATCATCAGTTACTCTACTTCCCTGATCCTTTCATCAAAAATAATATTACACTTTCTAATCTCGAATAAACCGCGTGTCGCCATCCCTAATATACGTAGTATCAAGTAATTCTCGTTAAACTGCTAGATGTTCTAAATTGATTAATGAGTGTTTTAATAGAATAATTAAATACCTTATTACGTTGTTTTTCCTTTAAATCCTACTTTAAATACCTTACTGTAAATTTTATCCATTTTAGTAGAATTAAAAGAAAACACAACTTAATAATAGTATAATGAAATATTGCCTGCGTAAAGCTAACGCGATTGAGCCTTCCAAATAAATAAATTGAATTAAACAAAAAAAAATGAGACATGTTTTTTGTTAAAATCATATGAAATCAATTAGACTTCAATATTTTTTTTAAATAGTATGCCAAATTGGATATAACTTCGTTATAAAAAGAGTTACAGATATTTTTAACAAAATATGCGTCTTTACAAGCTCAAAAGTCTCTTTAGATAATTTTCATGGGAAATACAAAATAAAAAAGCTTTCAGCGCGGCACGAAAAATTTAAATAAAATGTGCAAGTACTTTTGCTTCAATTTTTACACGCTTGGTGTCTTCGTTGAAGCTTGCGTGTGCTTGAAAATTTCTTTCTTTTGGTGGATGCAAATAATAGGATGATCAAAATACCAGGTCAATTGCCGGTTTTTCAAATCAATGTTTAAATGAATTCTCTGTTTTACAACTCATAAGGTTAAGATTTAATATCCGTCATACTTAGCACAACCCGAATTACAACTTTCTTTTTCGATCGGATTTGAACAACAGAATGAATGTTTCGACAAAAGATGACTTCTAGATTGATTTACGTTTCTATGTGTACCTTATAATTTTATAAGGTACACATAGAAACGTTTGATAAATTGTTTACAATTTGATAAAAATTTAACACCACTTTTTGATTCCAAATTCATCATATTACATTTAATTTCGTCCAAACATTTTAAAATGCCATGGGATTTACTTCGGCATACGGATGAAGACAGAAAAAAATGATTCGCTAGGAGTACTTCTTTTGAGCAGAAAGGATGTAAATATTCATATTATGTGTATTGTAGCTTTTGAACCAAACGCATGATCGAGTCTTCGACTCACGTCATTGGTGATGGACTCACGTCAAAATCATTGGTATTTTTTTATGTTTTCTGCTCCATACGACGGAAAAAGGCGCTTATGCCGAAGTAGTTCTCTAAAGCATTACAGCCCCATATTGATTTTTGTCAGAAATTAGTTATCTATTAGCAGTGTTGGTAAAATATCAAAAAATCAAATCTCACCAACGCCCAAGATACCGCTTGATTTTCGTGGACAAAATTCAACAAGCAAACAACTGCGGTTGATTGTACAAGCTGTGATATCGCAGCTCGGAATATCAAGCTAACAAAACTCATCAGCTGGAAATCTCAACAAACTGTGGTGAGATTGAGTTTCATCATTTTTGCTTTACACCCGAATGCAACCGAAACTTTCATAACGGCTGGCAGCAGTCACTTCGTGTCTGCCATTGGTGAAGAGTAAAAAGAGATAGCAAACTATACTTTCTCTTTCTAAGAACACGATGTGCAACGGAATCATTTTTGTGTCGAGTCAACTCTCAGCTTGATTTTTGCACGTTGCGAATAGTCTCGCAATATCAAAGGAGCTTGTAAAATCAGTATCAAGCATGATATTTTGTTCCAATATCACGCGTGATATTGCGAGCGCATGAGAGCGGAAAAATATCAATTGATTTCTGATTTTGCCAACACTGACTATTAGAGTCGATTGTAAACTATCGGCAGTTTACACTGTGCACTACAAGTAACATGTTTTGTTCAGAAAACATCGTAAAAAATGCCAAAACGAGGTTGTCCCATTAGGGTGGGGTTTATTTTTCAAAATCGTTAGGGGACATGTTTTCCCATGTGGAAAATGATTATTGGGACTATTTAAGCAACATATCAAAAATTGAACTTTTTTCGTTGACATTTAGAGGTGGAAGGAATCAAGGAATCCAAGTCCAAAATGTCGAACGATGAACTTTTTCAAATAAAACATTTGCTTCTATAAGTAAACACGTGATTTTGTTAACCATAAGTACATTTTTTTTATCCATTTTGCGATATCTTCACTGGTTCTCGAGATGTATGGCATAGCGATGTTCCCGCATATGGACTTACGCTTGCATATTGATCTATCACAATCAGTCTTGCAGTGCTTTATGCAGCGTGAGTAAATATGAGAATACGAGAGAATAAGAGAGAATGGAAGAGAAAAAGATATAGAAAACAAACAAAAAACCAGGGGAAAAGGTAAACTCTGGAGCAACCATAGAAAAGGACCGATCAGCATTTGAAAAAAAAAACCGTTCTAAAGCCCTTTCTTCGTAAATCGAAGGCCATACTTCGAACTATTTTGCTACTAATAATGGAAAACTTATGCTGAATGAATTCCAAAAAAAAAAAAACTGTCAGATTTCAAACTTAACTGTTTGGCTGGATGCGTCCAAAAAAACTGGATGATTCCTGTTTAAACAGGAATGTTGGCATCACTGTTCTGTACATCATAATAAAGATGGCCACATTCATCAGGAATCATAATTATTATATTTAATAATTATTATAATTAATCGAGTATTAGTACAAGACACTGAAGAAGTCTGCACATTGCAGACGAAATACGCGTATCTGTCAAGGGTAAGCAAATAAGGTAGTGGAATTAAATGGAAATTACTAATCCTTCTCTCTCTCTCTTATTATACAGGTATTCCACTAAGACGCCCTCATTTATCAGGATTCCCATATCAGTGTTTTTTCTGCCTAATTTATTCAGCTTATGTAGGGGGAAATGGATGTAATATCGGCCTAAATGTTCCTAATTTGGGCCCATATATAAATTCAGCAATCGACTAAATTTTCAATAGCGACCAAAATATCCATTAGTACCGTCCCAATGACGCGTTCATCTATATAAAATTGATAAGTAGTAGATTTTTAGCGATGGGCCCAATCTTAGATCCATAGGCCAACATTAAATCCATTTCCCCTATTTGTAATCTAAAAGCGGTTTGAGCATGAAGATTTGATTTGCCCGTAGAGTTGTTTTGACCAATTTCCCAGATTCTTACGTAACCCAACCCGATATCCAGAGACCTCTGTATGTGAATGGCACCATTAGCCACAAAATCGCATGTTAGTACAACCTACAAGTTATTCGGTTATTAAACCAAAAAAAAAAATATGTAACGTAACTAAAACAAAGAAAAAGCTTATCTTTTTATCTTTCATGATCAAACACAGGAATTTTATTGTGCAGTATTAAAAAATCCAATTAAAGTACATTGAAAATATTCAAGAGAAAAAAAAAATACTGAATCTGCATTTCTACGAATTTTACTCATTCGCTCGCGATCACCTTCTAATGGTTTACCCTATCGTACGAATCAATTCGAAATCTTTCTACGTGCGCCAAACTACAGCCAAACTGCTTTGGTTCAATCGTTCTCCGGTCTTACACTACTTAAACCTTGCATTTTTCTACTATTATTATATTTTTTAAAAAAGGTGTTTAGTGAGCAAATCTGGTGGTTCCGTGTGATGCTTAATCTAGTTATTACAAATTTACAACAACTCTATTATTGCGCCGCGCAAACCAAAACCAACGAAATACAAAAAGAACGCCAATGTAGGAAAACAAAAAAAAGCTAAGCAGTAAGCGCAGTCTCCTTCGGCACCCGTAATTAAAAGCGAACCTATGTAGATACTAGGATCAGGTGGGTAAAAGCTAGCAACGAAAGCAGAGAATACTGAAACTCAAACTTGTCAGTGGAATAAAAACCGAATGGTGTGTTAGAAGACCCTGTCAAGCAGCAGACTAATATCTTATTATTTAAGTTTAGAACAAAACTATGTTGGGAGATCTTTCCGTACAAGCGCGTTCTCTCCAGAATCAACCCAGATGTGAATCGGTATTGTACATTTTAATGTTCATTATGTGCTTGTCAAGCCTAATTGCTACTCGCTAAATATCAACTTTGATTTATGCGTGGGTGTGTGTAGAGGAGATTGTTCAGTACTTGTTTTTTTTTTTTTTTTGCTTGTAAATATACTGTATATATGCTCAGTTATGGTTAAGTAGAATATAGGTACTCAAAATCAGTGCATGACCCTCACCTGAGGTAGGAAGGATAGGCTCTTGGTGCTCTCGGCGTACCGGTTGACCGCCCGCAGTTCGTCCAGGGTCATGTGGTGCTGCGAGCCGGACCGGGTCGTCGTCGAGGACGACGAGTGCGACGACGAGGAGCAGCTGGATTTTTGCACGTTGAAGATGCCCGGGCCCTCGAGCGACACCGAAAGTCGCGCGCAGGACTCCAGCAACGAGTGCTCTGGAATGATTCCTAGGGAAACGGCCGAGTTGCCGACGTTTGGGCCGCCGGTCGTCAACAGGGCCGGCGTCGAATGGGACTCCTCTTGTGCGACTGCCGGCGATGACATGATCGCGATGATGATGGTGATGATGATGGTGGTGATGTATTTTGCAGACGACGAAGATGATCCCAGGTGTTAGGCAACATGAATACACACACACAAAGTTAGGCGAATAAACAGAAACAGATTGATTCGATTTAGGAAGGAACGTTGTGGGGAAGAGAAAAAAGAAGAAAACAAAACAAATCGATTAGACAGAGAGGCACATCACCCGCATGGACATACAGTTGAACAAATGTGGCACACAGCGACACAGTAACTGCTATTATTAATAGAGTTGCTTAGTAGTTGTTACGACTTTTGTACGACTAAAGTGTAAGTTATCATCGCTTAGGATAGACGCTATCGAACGTACTTAGTCCCCACCGCTCGCATTCACACTGCAGCCAGGTTTTCTCGGTTTCTAAAGCTAGTTTTACTACTCGGGATAAGCGCAGTTTACACATGTTACGGAGCAGTCCAGACAATGCGTGAGAATGAAACATAGAGAGCAGTGACAGAAGATAGGAATACAGGAACAGGAAACAGAGAAAAACGAAAAAAGAGAAAACAAATAAATCACCATTAGTATTGTTGCTGCAGTCTTAGAACGCTGTTTCTCTTGTTCTAGTTATGTACTGGATCAGATCAAAACGAGTTATTATTAATTCTACAAAGGATATCGAAAAAACTAAATCAATATAAAACCATTATGATAAACGCAGCACTCTAGCAATCAAATGATAGAAAAAATGTACAAATCAAAAACCAAAACAAAATACAAATAACTGTTTGAATAATTCGAAAACAAACCAAACTGATAAATACAATCATAATAACGAAAAGAAAAAAAAAACAAATGGAAACCAAACCGAAACTCTCGCAAGCAACTCACATGCATAGTTCTGCTGGGCAGTCTTCCCCCTCGGGGGCGGTGGATAGCGGAACGAGCAGATCCACTCGTCCTGAACCCGCAGGACCCGCCCGGTCACTCGGGCATAGTACTCGTAGTTGTCGCGCCCGAACAGATCGCACGCCGCAAACTGTTCGATCATCTGCTTCATGATCCGGGTCGCCACCTGCAATGGGGAGAAAATGAAGTGTTGAACAAATTAGTAACAGTAATTAGTACAATGATGGTTTTAGAGGTGGCGAAATTTAGAACCATTTCGACCCCCGGCTGGTGCATCTACACGCTAAGAAACAATGACGAGGTAATTCGCAATGATGACGGTGATGATGTGGTACAAAGAAGCAATCACAGAGAGTGGTTGTACATAGTAAGGTAAGTGAAGCTAAAAGGTTGTAGTTTGCTTTCACCGTTACAGTCTATAGTATGTGGTGTACTACAACTGGCTGTGGGGATAGTGTCATGTATGATAATTAATAGTAGAAGGTAGGCGGATACAACTTCAATAAGAGTGACTGGTTTTAGCAACTACGAGAGTTTAGCGTGGTGAATGCACGCTACAGACACGACATTCACAATATTTTCAATGTAGGATTGCTACCGAGTTAAAGAACAAACAAACAAACAAACAAACGAACAGGTAGGAAAACGCGCAATTATTAGAACATTCTATAAACTGGCGACTGGAATGCAGGAAGAGTGTTTTCATTGAGGTTGATTGGATTCCGGTTCATCGGTTGCAGCACATTTGCCCCACATTGTCACAGAGAAAAGGAACGATTGCAAATTCTACTGATTCAGATACGCATCCTTAAGTTCGATGGAAAAATACACTGCGAAATCAAATAATCAACTCTATCAAATGAACCATATGGCAATTACAATGTACACTACCCGTCATCAGTATGGACTCGCTTAGCAAAGCGTTGCAATACGCATGGAACTTAAAATCAAATTTGATAAATTCCTCTAATTTAATTGAATATCACAACGGAATCTCCTGTGAAGAGCATTTGATGTGATTTGAATAATTTACTTTTGCTTACGTTATGCATGATGACTAGCAAATAGTAATTCCCATTTTGTTATGATCTTGATTCTGCGTTCGAAATCTCAAAATATTTGATATATCTAGGTAGATAACTTTGATAATTTGCTACGAACTTTTCACAGAATTTCTTCAGAATGATCTCAATAACAGGGTGGCCAGTGAATTTTCATTTTGAAAATTCCCGGTTTTTTCTCGGTTTTCCCGGTTTAAATCTTAAAAAATTCCGGGTTGTTAATATTCAACAACAACAACAAAACGAAAATGAACGCATTTTTAAGAACGTGCTGAAAGGAATTTACTGACAAGATAAAAAAAAGTGATTAAAGAAGATTCCCAAGATTCTGGAGCATTAAAATTTGTGTAGAGTCTGACACTAGAACTTTTTTTTTCAAAATGTGTGATTAATAACAATCTTTGTGATGCAAGATTTGGAGTAAAAACTAATTAAAATGTGAGATTTTGAAAAAAAAATCAAGATCACAGTTTAAAAAAAATCATACTTATGAGTCGTGGAGTCATAATTGTCATGCTTTGAGACTTGGAAGCATTTCAAGAGTTATAAAATATTACATAACAATCAATAGAATCCAGCGTAATAGCGTATAGAAAACCCTGGAGTTTTTAGTAAAATTTAAAAGAATACAAAGTGTTGATTTCAAACAAATATTGAGAAGGATTTCCACACAGTTTTCGATGGAGAAGTTCTGAGCAGATTTCCAGAATTATTTTGACATGAAATCCTTAGAAATTGTTAGATGAATTCAGAAGGATTTCTGTGGAGAAGAATGCAAGTTGTAAATTAAATTGTTAGGTAATTTTAGAAGATTTAAAAGGAGTTGTGAAAAACAAAACTTTGCGGAAAATCCCTACGATTATGACGAAATTTGAAGAGAATTATGATCATAATTCAACAAGAAACAGAGTTCTCAGATTGTTCTGGTAATAATTTCAACCCTAGTGCGAAAGATTCATCACAGAACTCCAACAAAATTGATTGCAAAAAATTTGCTGATAAATATAAAGAAATTCTTTAAAATACTCCAAGGGGTTTCTAAATAAATTTTCGAAAGATTTCTGCTGTTTTCAATAGAGTTAAAATTAATTTTTGAAAAGATTTTCAAAGAAATAAAAGTCTCTGGATAGGCTCAAGGGCATTCTAAAAAGGATTCCAATTATATTCTTGGAAGAGATTGCAATGCAATTCCAAAAAGAATTCAACGGTAATTATTACGCGGAGTGTTTTTAGGTTTATTTCTGAACAATTTCAAGATAATTCAGAGCAGAATTCCAACTTAATTCTGGAATTGATATCATGAGATTTTTGAAAAACGAAAAATTAAAACCCCGAATTATTATTCAGGTTCGGTTATAACAAATATTTGTTTCCAAAGTCCAGCATCTTCAATATTTTCTTTTAAGGACCATGCACCTTACATCTGAAATTGAGACGACAAAAATCAATTTGCAATATTGCTGAGTTCTTTTCAAATTCCCGGATATTTCCCGGTATTCCCGGTTTTCCCGGTTTGCTGGCCGAACTTTTTTAGAACAATTCCCCTTATCTTAAGCTTAGAGGCAAATAAGCTTTTAGAAACATAATATTGCATACTTGAAATTCTTTGCAGAACAATCAACAAAATTCTTGGAAATAGTAGTTGGAAACGCTTAACATCAAATATCAGAATTAAAGTCGACGATAGATGAGGAGATGAAAGTAAAGAGTTGATAGTTCCGCTATAGTATGGCAGTGTGAAATTTGTATATAGAAAGTAGAAAGCGAACAAAGGACAATTTTAAGGAAGCTATGTAAATCGTTAAATTCACGAATGAAGTAATAACACATGATTAGTTAATGTAGATTATTTTCGATTTTTTATTGATTCTTCTAGATACTATCTGAAGACTCCTTCCATAAATCCATCCTTAGAACTTCCATGCAATTAACCTCAGAAGGTTCATAAATTTCTGCTTAGAATAATCTTGGACTTCTCCCTTGCATTCAATTGGAAGTTCAATTCGTATTCTCCTTAAAATCCCCATAGTATTTCCTCGGAATTCTCAACACAACAACTCTTCTCAGAATTCCTTTGAGATTGAACCCTAAAAATTCGATTCCATTGGAATTCTTCTCTGAATTTATTTCGAACTCTTTAGAATTCTCTTGGAAGTATCGTCAGAAATCACCCCAGAATTATTTTAAAACTATCCGCAGAGACCATCTTTGGAGTTCACAAAATGTTCATGGAATTTTCATCAGAGCTACCTTAACCGAAATTTCAGAACTAATTTTCGGATTCTTATAAGAATTGGACTTATTTAGTATCCTCATCCAATCATCATTGAATTCTTCTCAGAACTCTCGTTAAAATGCACTCTCAATTACATTAGAATTATTTCCAAAATTGTTTCGGAGCTGAACTTTGCGTCTCTAATAATTTAAACAATAATCAAAAGCGATGCTCGTATGTGTTAAGCCAAGTTTAACTATATAGGTAAACCTGGCTGAAGATTAAAGCGGAGATGAAGAAATCGATCCTCAGAACACTTAATTTCACATGAGACTTTCGTAGTCTGTACTTTGGTATTCTTCTCTGATATATCTTGGTGTCATCCCTAGAATTCTCTTTTAAATCTAAATTGAAGGCATTTCCCAATAGTTTTCCTGGTGTTCTAACGTTTTGCGGTTCACCCTGGTTAAAATTTTCAAAATTTCAACAGATATGTATATTTTTTTAAAACTACTGTAGACTTTCTAAGTGCCAAGTACTCAATTTTAACATTTTGTGGATATTTTTAAACTTCACTCTATTTTAGTAGTGAAAAAGTTACTTTAGTGACTATTTCTAGGGAAATAGTTACTTTAGTGACTCTATGGTGTAAAAGGTGACTTTTTAGTGACTGGCTTCAAAATAGTGACCAGGTCACTAAAAAGTGACCTGCTACCAGCCCTGTAACTGTCTGAAGTGATTCAGTGCTATCCAAAGTTAACAAAGTTCGAATTGATTCAGTTCTGCGGAAGTGATTACAAACTTTTTGGATTGATTCAGTACTTTCCAAAGTGAATCCAAAATTTTCTGAAGAGATTTTATACTATCCGAAGAGATTCCGAGCTTTTCTGAAATGAGTCAGTACTTTCTGAAGGTTATTCAAACGTTTTTAGAGTGATTCAGAATTTTCCAAATTGATTCAGTACTTTCGGAAGTGATAACAAATATTCTGGAATGATGCCGCACCATCCGGAGTGAATTTTCAAACTTTTATGTAGTGATGCAGTACTTTCTGAAGTAATTCCAAATATTTCGGAAGTGATTCAGTACTTTCCAAAGTTATTCCGATTTTTTCCTAAGTGATTCAGTGCATTTATAATTGATTAAATTTTTTTCGAAGTGATTTAGTTCTGCGAAAGTAATAACAAACTTTCCGGAGCAATTCAGTACTTTCCAAAGTGAATCCTAAATTTTCTGAAGAGATTTAATACTATCCGAAGAGATTCCGAGCTTTTCTGTAATAATTCAGTACTTTCTGAAGTTAATTCAAACTTTTCTAGAGTAATTCAGAATTTTCCGAATTGATTCAGTACTTTCGGAAATGATAACAATCATTTTGGAATGATACCGTACCATCCGGAGTGATTTTTCAAACTTTTAAGAAGTGATGTAGTGCTTTCTGAAGTAATTTCAAATATTTCCGAAGTGATTCAGTACTTTCCAAAGTTATCCCGACTTTTTCTGAAGTGATTCAGTGCATTTTTAAGTGATTAAATTGTTTTCGGAGTGATTCAGTTCTGCGGAAGTGATTACAAACTTTTTGGATTGATTCAATACTTTCCAAAGTGAATCCGAAATTTCCTGAAGCGATTCAATATTATCCGAAGAGATTTCGAGCTTTTCTGAAATGAGTCAGTACTTTCTGAAGGTTATTCAAACGTTTCTATAGAGATTCAGAATTTTCCAAATTGATTCAGAACTTTCGGAAGTGATAACAAATATTCTGGAATGATGCTGTACCATCCGGAGTGAATTTTCAAACTTTTATGTAGTGATGCAGTACTTTCTGAAGTAATTCCAAATATTTCGGAAGTGATTCAGTACTTTCCAAAGTTATTCCGATTTTTTCCC